GGAGTCACAATTCACGAGCATTCTAAAATTTACTACAAGTAATAATCTGAAAGAAATACAACTATTTGAAAAAAAGAAAACAGTAGGACATAAAAGATAGACGGGGGCTTTAAGGTCGGTGAACGCCGACAGATCTACCTTGAGTCTCCGGACAGCGGACCAATAGAAAAATCTCGATCAACCTGAGCCGGTACAAAAATCTGCACAGAAAGTGCAGAGTGCAGTATCAGTACAACCGACCCCATGTACTGGTAAGTGTAGAGCCTAAACTTGGCGAAGTAGTGACGAGGCTAGGACAAGACACCCACATATAACTTGAACAGTATAATCTTGCTAGTGGCAACAACAGTAAATAAAGAAATAATGCAGAAATAATGTGAAGGGGAGAAACAGTGGGGGAATACAATATAAACAGTGAGAATAATGAAAAGAAAGAATTAAACCGAAAATCCTTAAAAAATTGAGCAAATAAAACAGCAAAGGAAAACTGCGCGGCATCACCCTTCGTGCTTTTACTCTCAACCTCACCAAATAAATAAATAGAATGGCACGGCATCACCCTTCGTGCTTTTACTCTTAGCCTCGCCAAATAAATAAATAGAACGGCACGGCATCACCCTTCGTGCTTTTACTCTCAACCTCTCCAAATAAATGAATAAATAAATAGAACGGTACGGCATCACCCTTCGTGCTTTACACTCCTCCTCACAAATCACAGAATCAATAATAACGGATAGATAGGAGTATCACAAAGAAACCAGTATTTTACTCATAATCAATAGCACAATGTAACCTCAACCTTGAATCAATATTCGAAAGTTACCAAATCTCAGTGAAACTAGATATAAGTCACCCAATATTTCAAATAACCCGCTAAGCATGGATAGTAGAATTTAAAGCTACAAAATAGAAAAGAATAGAATTTCACTCGCATGCTATGACTCGACAACGACGCATAGATGCTCGTTACCTCATCTATACATCGTATTTAATAACCAAACACGTAGCAAAGAAACACATAATACCTATTCCTTCAAGCCAAAGTTAGACACGACACTTACCTTGCTCCGAAAGCACTTAATTCCCAATCACAGCTTTTCCTTTAGAATTCACCTCCAAACCACTCGTATCTATTCAAAAATAACTCAATAATATCAAATATTGCTAAAGAAATTAATTATATTGCATAAATTAAATTTTCCAAATTTTCCTCCAAAAAGTCAAAAAATCGATCCCGGGCCGCTTAGTCAAAACCCGAGATTCGGACCAAAATCCATTTACCCATTCTCCCCCGAGCCCAAATATATAATTATTTTTTGAATCCGACCTCAAAATGAGGTCTAAATCCCCAAATTTCCGAAATTCCTAGTTTCTACCCTAACCCCTAATTCTACCATGAAAACTCTAGATTTTAGGTGGATAATTCAAGAAATGTAATGGGTAATTGAAAGAAAATAGTTTAGAATCACTTACCAACACTTTGGGGAAGAAAATGACTCTTGAAAATTGCCTCTACCCATTTGATTCTTGAAAAATGTTGAAGAAATGACTTAAACCCGTGTTTGATTCTGTTTTATGCACTGGGCGACAGTGTGCATCGCGTTCATGAGGCCACTGTCGCATTTGCGAAGGGTATTGGCTGCCAAGCCTTCCCGTTCGCGAGACCCTGATCGCGTTCGCGATGGTTACTCCCCCTGGCCTTCGCGTTCGTGGGACATTGCTCGCTTTCGCGATGAAGGAACGACCAACCCTCCCCCGGGTGTGCCTAACACTACGCGTTCGCGAGGAGCTGGTCGCGTTCGCGAAGGATAATGCCCCGATCGCTTCGCATTTACGACCAAGCCTTCGCATTCATGAAGAAGAAAACTTCAGCTTCCCAATTTACTCTTCGCGTTCGCGAGAATACCTTCGCGAACGCGGAGAAGGACTTGCTAGAACACCTGTTGCAGCAAAATACCAGATTTTTAAAGTCCAAAACATCCCGTGGCCTACCCAAAACTCACCCGAGCCCTCGGGGCTCCAAACCAAACATGAACACAAGTCTAAATACATCATACGAACTTGACCACGCCATCAAATCGCCAAAATAACACCTAGAACTACGAATTTAGCACCAAATCAAATGAAATTCTCAAGAGCACTTTAAAATTCATATCTTTTTAACTGTGCGTCCGAATCAGGTCAAATCAACTCCGTTTCTCACCAAATATCACAGACAAGTCTTAAATATCATAATAAACCTGTACTAGGCTCCAGAACTAAAATACTGACCCGACACTAACAAGGCCAAACATCAATCAATTCTTAAAAATAATTAATTTTCAGTCTTTAAATTTTTATCAAAAATTCATAACTTGTGCTAGGGACCTCCGAATTCGATTTCGGGCATACGCCCAGGTCCCATTATTTGATACGGACCCACCGGGACCGTAAAAATATGGATCCGGGCCCGTTTATCAAAAATATTGACCGAAGTCAATAAAAATCAACTTTTAAGGCACACATTCTTATTTTCATCAATTTTCAACATGAAAGCTTTTCGAAAATATGCCCAGACTATGCACGTAAATCGAGAAGGGTAAAAATAAGATTTTTAAGGCTTAAGAGCGCAGATTCGAGTTCTAAAATATAAGATGACCTTTTGGGTCATCACAGTTTTTCAAGTATAACAGTCGATCCCAAATCTTTCACCGAAAACCTCAAAAATATATGAATAAGTTTGAAAACTGTGATTTTTCCCAAAAACCTTTCAACAATAAATAAGATGTTTCATTTTCAGATAACATGAGGAAAATACATCTTTATGCCTATATGTCAAAATACATGTGAAATCATGAATGTCACCAAAGTCTGGTAGCAGAAGGAAATGCATAACTATACATGTATCTCAAGTACGCATGTCAATGATGAACTCATGTACTCACCCTCTCAGAGTACTCTATCTAACTGTCTCGTATTCTCACTCATCGTGCTCAATACTCAGCACACTGAGTCACTCAGTATTATACAGGGCAGATCCAGCCCATATACAAATAAACCAATTATAATTCAGCTGGTTCACAGTTACGGAAAGATAGACATGCTTTTCAAGTATAACAGTAAATCCCAAAACTTTCACCGAAAGCACCAAAAGCATATGAATAAGTTTGAAAACAACGATTTTTCGTAAAAAACTTTTAACAATAAATAAGATGTTTCATTTTCATATAGCATAAAGAAAATATATCCCTATGCCTACATGTCAATATACAGGTGAAATCATGAATGCCGCCAAAGCCGGGTAGCAGAAGGAAATGCATCTCTATGCATATATCTCAAGTATGCATGTCAAATGCAATGCATCTCAATGATGAACTCGTGTACTCACCCTCTCAGTTTACTCCATCTCACTGTCTTGTATTCTCACTCATCATACTCAATACTCAGCACACCTAGTCACTCAGTATTGTACAGGGCAAATCCAGCCCAAATGCAAATCAACCAAGGCAGATCCAACCCAAAGATGCAAATAAACCAGGGCAAATACAGCCCAATGTAAATGAACCTAGATGCAAATAAACCATGGCAGATCCATCCAAAATGTAAATGATTGCTAACAATTGTGCCCACTATATGTGTGCAAACTCTGGAGGGGCCGATCCATCCCAAACTCTATAATAAGATAAATCCTGGCATGAATTAATAAAACTTGTTACGGCGTGCAGCCCGATCCCATAAATAACTTTCACAACATGCCCTTGGCCTCACTCAGTCATCAATCTCTCCAGTCTCTCGGGCTCACAATACTCATGCTAAACAACCCAAATCAATGATACGAGATGTGACAATATACGATAACAAAAACTGAGATATGATATAAAATGATGAATGTGACTGAGCACATAACTGCAATAAATCAAATAACTCAACAACAAATAATGACCATTGTGGGTCCTAATAGTACCAACATATAGCCTACACATGATTTTTGGTATGAACTGCAACTCAAGTCTTCTAATACATAGAGTACAGTAAAAATGTTCAGATAAAATAGCTACACAGTTTCATAGAATCGACTAAATCATAATTTACATGGTGCACGCTCACACGCCCGTCGTCTAGAACGTGAGTCACCTCAACATCACTCACATGGCACTTAATTTGAGGCTTCATACCCTCAGCACCAAATTTAGAAGTGTTACTTACCTCGAACGAGCCAAATCCAATACCGAGCAAGCCAAACGATGCTCCAAAAATGCCATCACATGCGTACCGACCTCCGAACGGTTCGAAACTATCCAAAGCAACTCAAATACATCAAATAATGCCGTAGGAAATAAACACAATCGATAAAGGTCAAATCTTTAATCAAAAGCCCAAAATCAATCCAAAAGTCCAACCCGTGTCTACGCCTCGGAACTCGATGAAACTTATAAAATCCGACAACCCATTAAATTACGAGTACAACCATACTAGTTTCATTCAAATCCGACTCCAAATCGATGTTCAAAACTCAAAAAATTATTCTATGAAATTTTAGACTAAAACCCCCAATTTCTCTTTACAATTCATAATCCAAATGCCAAAAACGAAGATAGAATCAGGAAATATAATCAAAACCGAGTATAAAATACTTACCCCAATCCTTGTGATGCAAATCGCCTCAAAAATCGCTTCAATCCGAGCTTCATTGCTCTAAATAAGCTAAAATGACCAAACCCTCGAACTTAAAGCTTCTGCCCAATCCTTTTCGCTTTTGCGGACAGTAGGTCGCACCTGCGACCTTCGCTTCTGCGGAACAAAGTCACGCACCTGTAAGACAGCCTTGGCCACTAGTGGCCGCTTCTGCGATGACCAGTGTCGCACTTGCGATCGCGCTTCTGCGACTGTAGAACCGCTTCTGCGAAGCCTCCCCAGCCAGCTTTCCCCATGTCACTTCTGCGACCAGCTTCACGCTTTTGTGAGCACGCACATGCGGTCCTTAATACGCAGGTGCGATGACATCAGTAACCAAAAACTTCATCAACTTCAACAAGGTTCCAAACGATCTGAACCCCGTCCGAAACTCACCCGAGCCCCTCAGGACCCGTCCGAATATACCAACAGGTTCCATAATATAACACGGACCTACTCGAGGTCTTAAATCATACATAGCAACATCGAAACGACGAATCACACCTCAAATCAAACTTAAATGAACTTTGAACTTTCAACTTCTGAAACTCGTGCCAAAACATAGCAAATCAACTCAATGAACTCAAATTTGGCACATAAGTCCCAAATAACATAACTAAGCTATTCCAATTTCCGGAACCACAATCTGAACCCGATATCCACAAAGTCAACTCCCGGTCAAACTTATGAATTTTTCAAACCTTCAAATTTTCAATTAGCGCCGAATCGTTCTAGAAATATCCAAATGCAAACCTCGGGCTTACGCCCAAGTTCAAAATCACCATCCGGACCTAACGGAGACCTCAAAACTTCATTCCGGGCTCAAATTCACAAAAGTCAAACTTGGTTAACTTTTTCAACTTAAAGCTTAAATCGTGAAATTCATTCTTTCAAATCGATTCCGATTAACATGAAAACTAAAACCGACGATTCACACAAGTCATAATACATCATACGGAGCTACTCATTCCCTCAAACTATTGAGCGAAGTACAAATGCTCAAAACGACCTGTAGGGTCGTTACATGGAAGATGTAACATTATTAATATAGCTTTTTATTTTCCAGCAACTTTCTTTCTAGATATCTAAGAAAAAAAGTTTTGTCTCGTTTGGTAGCCATTTTTTATTTTGTTAGAGAGCTTAAACTAAAGAAAAGCATGAAATAGAATTAGTCGCATATTTGAAATAAATTAAAGAAGGTATTTTTACTTTATTAATCATATTTGATAGGGTAGGTAAATAAATGGTATTCAACAATCTATATCGTACCCTAATATTGTTCCCTTCTTAATTACTTTCAGCCTATAGTTTATTGGGGAAATTAACATTTGATTTGTAAATTGATCTTGGTTGCCAACCGTTTGGAATGACATTTGGGGCAGTGACACTCTTCTTTATTTCTGAAGTAAGTCTAAGGGAAAAAGGAGGTTTCTGTGTGTTTGGTTGCATGTCAACACTCCAAGTTGCGCCAATCATTCGTTGCATTGGTACCCAACTTGAATTGCTTGTTTGGATTTCAACTAAAGAAAGGTCCCCATCCCCATCTACTGCTTCAGATGTAACTGCGAAAAAATTAGGATTGGAACCTTTGTCCACCTTAAATATAATATTTGTATTGTAATTGCATGCTACCCTGTAAGGTTCAATAAAAATTAAAAAAAATTAATGCATTAGCAGTTTTCCTCGGAAGGAAAATAAGAGGGGAAAAAAAAATCAATTTATTGCTTCCTATCCCCCCTCCCCCCAAATATAAAACCTTCTTATAAGATGGAACAAATGAAGTAGTTTTTGTAAAATAACTCACCTTCGGTAAAAAATCGAGATTCTTCCTGCATTATATAATTGTGAAGCTTCGCCAGACANTTGTTTGGATTTCAACTAATGAAAGGTCACCATCCCCATCTACTGCTTCAGATGTAACTGCGAAGAAATTAGGATTGGAACCTTTGTCCACCTTAAATATGATATTTGTGTTGTAATTGCATGCTACCCTGTAAGGTTCAATAAAAATTAAAAAATATTAATGCATTAGCAGTGTTCCTCGGAAGGAAAATAAGAGGGGGAAAAAATCAATTTATTGCTTCCTACCCCCTCCCCCCAAATATAAAACCTTTGTATAAGATGGAACAAATGAAGTAACTTTTAGTTTTTGTAAAATAACTCACCTTCGGTAAAAAATCGAGATTCTTCCTGCATTATATAATTGTGAAGCTTCGCCAGACTTTGCCAATTTTCCAAAGGCAATTCCACTTATATCAAAGTGAACCGGATCATTATTGCATGCTCCTGGGCACTCATCTGTAAGGGTTAATGTTATTGGATTCCCTGAACAATGCGGATTCTGATTTTGGGTGCATAATACTTGAAAAACAATGCCGATATTTTAGAGATGTCATGCATTTATGCATGAAACTAAAATATTCATGCACATTATCTCTTTTATTTCAGAGTTTTATTTTCTTGTCATCTCATGCAACATAAGATGTGTTGTTCTACAAATTATAAATTTACAAGATCAGTGGCAGAATCAGGTATTCTATCAAGGGGATTCCAAAAGTTTAAAAATGTTACATTTGAAATTTGCANCCAAAGGCAATTCCACTTATATCAAAGTGAACCGGATCATTATTGCATGCTCCTGGGCACTCATCTGTAAGGGTTAATGTTATTGGATTCCCTGAACAATGCGGATTCTGATTTTAGGTGCATAATACCTGAAAAACAATGTCGATATTATAGAGATGTCATGCATTCGTGCATGAAACTAAAATATTCATGCACATTATCTCTTTTATTTCAGAGTTTTATTTTCTTGTCATCTCATGCAACATAAGATGTGTTGTTCTACAAATTGTAAATTCACAAGATCAGTGACGGAATCAGGTATTCTATCAAGGGGATTCCAAAAGTTTAAAAATGTTACATTTGAAATTTGTACCTATATTTTCTCTTATAAGGAGATTTAAAAATTTATGTATTTTAAATTTATGTTTACGCAATTTATGTTATATAACTTTCCGAAGAAGGAAATTCAATTGAATCCCAGTCACTCTACCTGGTAGCATGCACCACATCCAGCACCTTGCTTAAAAAGCGCTTGATTTCCGGCCGTGATCATTGCATTGTAGGGAGCGCTTGGTACGTCATTTTCGAGCCCACATGCTCCACCTAGAACAAAATAGTAAGAATAAAATATATTTTCAATCATTTAGCCCGATAATCATTAATGAAGTATGTAAAAATCAAGACTATATTGATCAAGCCATTTCGGTGAACAGGTGTCTACAAAATTCCATTTGTAGATACCTTTTATTATAAAGGGGAAGGAAGAGAAACTTGATAAGCGGATTACAAAATGCAAATCAAACCCTTACAAACAATGTAAAATTCAGATATCCAACAATCGAACTACTAAGATTTATCTTCAAAATTGTATTTGAAATCTAAAGTAGGTTAATTTAATTTTAATCTAGTAGGCTACTTCATATATCTTAAGAAAAAAGAGAGTAGAAACAAACGACATTTTAAGACATTACCACTCCCGGGACTAGTAGGATTTATATAAAATGTTGCAACAGCTTGTGAATAACCACTTGGTTGGCAAGAGGAAAATCTAAACAAACACGAGCAAAAAGCTACAAAAATCCAAAGGAAAAGACCATGAGGAAAATTTGCAGCCATGATCTAGTAATTATCTTTGATTAACTAAGTGACGCTCTAATATTTTTTGCTAATTGCTTATGCAATGCCATGTTAATTGGTACTATTTATAGTAAAAAATGAATATTATTCTGTTGAGGATACTAATTATGAAAAATGAACCATTTTGCTAATTTAAGGTAAGAACTTTATTGCCTTACTATTTAGTTTGGAGATGCTGAAAATTTAAATATTATTACATCTCATGATTCTCATCTTCTCTTTAATTCTTTTATTTCTTTTTGTCATATACCAACTAAACACCATATGATTTGAGGCATCTACAATCACAGAACAAGAGGCATGCAGTAAACATATCGAAATGCATAACAACTAACCATAAGTTGAGAAGATCAAAAGAAAAATATATTGATTAATAAACACTTGGCTTGACCTTTTCAAATGAT